CTCTATATACCCAAGGAATTATAAAAGATGTGAAAAGGCGACTCTTGGATTTTTGTGAAATACTGAAAGAGTTAAAGAGTGTGTGAAATAATGGTACGCTATATGTTTCTTTTGAAAAAAAAAACATGATAAAAAAATTGTACAAGTCTGTTGATATGTGGGATAAGTATATCTGAATGAACACAATTTTATGCAATGATATATAATCATGTACATGCAACTGACGTCCGTACTTTTCCTTGTAATTCATAAAATTATCTAATTCCTTTGAAGCCCCCCCCCCCCGTCTTGAATTTGAATTATATATTCGTTTTAGATTTAAATCTGGAACATGTGAATAACATTACCATTTACATGTATACAGAATTTCATATTTTATAATTATGAAATGTTCAATTTACATGTCTGAGAGAGAGAGAGAGAGGAGAGATTCCCTCTTAATCCCGATCCAGACCAAAAATTAGTTCTTTATCGGTCACACCCATTCTTTATTAGATGTTTTCTGATTTCATAGTCAGTCATGGTCACATCCTGTATATTTTTCTGCTTAAAAAGTATCACACGAAGTGCACACGGAGTGCACGTGTGTTGACCTGTCAATCAAAATCACTTGATGCTGTATGCACTGCAATTAAGTAGCCTGAGTTCGAAATGATCTTGAAGTATGATCTTTAAATAAATCTGCTGCAACAAACTTGTGAAAAAAATAGAATAAGATAAAAAATAAAATATCTCGGTATTATGAACTTCGACTGTGGGACGTGGAGACCGGTCCTTTGGATGAGATCGTATAAATCGAGGTCCCTTGTCGCAGAAGATGCTGGCATAAAAAAGATTCCCCACTGCTCAATTGCGATAAATGCCAAAGTATAGGACAAAAATTTACAGTCTCCACCGGCGAGTGGTGGCGTCTCCATGTGAGTGAAAAATTCTGGAGAGGGACGTTAAACAAGATACGTATAATCAATCAATCAATCAATCGATTGCTGAAGAATTACTGTAATTGAATAATCTGTCTTATAGGTATGTTGTCAAATCTTGATATTATAACTTTACAAAACTCAGTGACTTTACGTTTAATGTGATACTAACTTAATTCATTATATTTTTTTATAACACCATCACAATTATGCCAAAACATACACACAGTGAAGTTTATGATAGTACGGTGTTCGTTCGTCTGTTTGTTTGTCTTAGAAATGATTGCAAACATTTTTTTTTAAATTGCTAATGATATACGTATATCTCTCATAGGTGCCAAATGTATTATACAAGATTGATCATGAAAATCAAAGTACCTTAAGTACTGAAAGGACTTTTTTTCCAGTTATTTTTTTCTTTCACAGTAAATATGATATGTATGGTTTTTACACAGAAAAAAGCAAATTCTTACAGATTTAGAAGAACGGAAGACTTTTTTGTTGCCATGGCAACAAGAGTCTAGTTATTATTATTTTTCTTCCTGGGTAATTTTTTGTCCGTGAGTGATCTCCGAAACTATACATCCGATTGAGTTGAAACCTTTTTAGGGTTAATAGGAATGTAATGTAGATTTGCGGAACGAAGGTCATTTTGCACGCACGTGCATGCACGTGCGTGCGCGTGCAATGAGTAAAATGACCAATATACTTGATATTGCCATAACTTTTATATCTTTTGATGAAATACTTTGATACTCAGAATATAAGAATATATTAATAGTGTAGACAAGATGACATGGTCAGAATGCACATGCATGCACGTGCGCGCATGCGCATTGATTAAAATAACCAATACAATTGATATAGACTTAACTTGTACATTTTTTGATGAATTGCTTTGACACTCAGAATATAAATATATATTAGAAGTGTAGACAAGAAGACTTGATCAGCGCACACATGCATGCACATGTGTGCACGCGCGTGCGCGTGCAATGAGTAAAATGACAAATATACTTGATATAGCCATAACTTTCAACTCTTTTGATGAAATGCTTTGATACTCAGGATATCAGGATATATTAATAGTGTAGACAAGACGACATGGTCAAAATGCACATTCATGCACGTGTGCGCATGCGCAATGATTGAAATAACCTATACGAATGATATAGACTTAAGGTATGTCACTCGTCAGCCTTTTAGAAAATTTCAGTCAGAACCTCTTACTTAAAAACTATTAATTACAATTAAATCTTCATAACATATTTAAATTAAACAATGTAAAATGTTCAACATTCAATTAAAAAACTGCTCAAAAATTCATAAAGAAGCAAGATTTATAAGGGACTATTTCTTGTGGTGGAAGGATATTTAGCAGAAAATTCTGCAAATCTACACATTTATTAAATTTAATATCTTGGAACTTTAGCCTCACATACTTTTACTCAGATAATATTTTCCGTTATGATATGCCTAGAATATTAAATATAGGTCTCAATTTATATTTTTATAACAAAATTTACACCTTCGCTCAACAAACTTTGCCAAGAAATGAAGGTATATTAAGGAAATCGAGATAAAATTTACACAGTTTTTTGCCAGAAAATCGCATATTTTGACCAATATTTCAAAATTTACATCACTGACCCCAACTTTTTCTTTCATTATTTTAAACTTCTCGATACTTTTGACCAATCAGCACTTAAGTCGTAAAAAGTTTGATACAAGAAAATATTCTATTGCCTATTTAGATTTTTAATACCCCAAATATGAGACTTTTTTAGTGCAAAAAGGTCACACAATAATTTACGCGCATTAATTTGCATGATTTGTTCAATGATAAATATTATTCAAACTGTTTTACGTAAAATAAGATTATGTTTATTGTCATGGTTACATCTGATAAAATATGATAACGGTTAAAGTGATTAACCAAAGAGTTACAATTTAAGTGCAAAAAGTCAACTTAATTGTACCGTAGCTCAGTTAGATGCACACTGACCCCTCATTTTCTCTGCGATTTTGAGTCATACTATATGAGTACTTATCCAAAATATACTTCTCAAAAAATCCTTGATATAACAAATTTCACGAGTGACATACCTTAACTTGTATATTTTTAGATGAATTGCTTTGAAACTCAGAATATAAGTATATATTAGAAGTGTAGACGAGATGACATGATCAGCGCGCACATGCATGCATTTGCATGCACGTGCGTGCGCGTGCAATGAGTAAAATCACCAATATACTTGATATAGCCATAACTTTTACATTTATTGATGTTATGCTTTGATACTCAGAATATATAGACATATTATAAATGTAGACAAGACGACATTGTCAACATGCATAGGCATGCACGTGCGCGCGCATGCAATGCTAAAATGACCAATATACTTGATATAGCTGTAACTTTTATACTTTTTGATGAAATGGATTGATACCCGAAATATGTAGATATATTTATAGTGTTGACGAGATGACACGGTCATCGTGGACATGCATGCACGTGCGCGCGCATGCAATGCGTAAAATGACAGATATACTTCATATAGCCGAATTTTTTTTTCTTTTAATGAAATTTGAATATAAAGATGTATTAAAAGTGTAGACAAGTTGACATGGTCATTTTGTACATGCATGCCTGTGCGCGCGTGTGTAATGCGTAAAAAAACCCCAATATACTTGATTGCCTTATTTAATGAAGCTTACAGGGAATAAGACACCAAAAGGAAGTTGGGGAGCGTTTGGGGAACATCTGTAACGGTCCCCGTTACAATTAATACTAGTTATTATTATTCTTTTTTATACTTATTTCTTCTCCGGTACTTTTTTGTCCGCGAGTGTTCTCGGAAACTGCTCATCCAATTGAGTTAAAACCTTTTTAGGGTTAATAGGCATGTTATGTAGATTTGCGGAACAAAGGTTATTTTGCGCGCACGTGCATGCACGTGCGTGCGCGTGCAATGCGTAAAATGACCAATATTCTTGATATAGCTGTAACTTTTATATTTTTTGATGAAATGCTTTGATACTCAGAATATAAGGATATATTAAAAGTGTGAACAAGATGACATGGTCAACATGTACATGCATGCGCGTGCGCGCACGCGCAAAGCGTAAAATGACCATTTTACTTGATATAGTCGTAACTTTTATACTTTTTGATGAAATGCTTTGATACTCAAAAAATTTATATATATATAGAAAGAGTAGACAAGATGACATGGTCATCATGCACATGCATGCATATGCATGCACGTGCGCGCGCGTGCAATGTGTTATATGACTAATATAATTAATATAGCCGTAATTTTTATATTTTTTGATGAAAAGCTTTGATATTAAGAATATATAGATATATTAAAAGTGTAGACAAGATGATTTGGCCATCATGCACATGCGCGCGCGTGCAATGTGTTAAATGACCAATATACTTAATATAGCCGTAACTTTTATATTTTTTTATGAAAAGCTTTGATACTTAGAATAAACAGACATATTATAAGTGTACACAAAATGGCATGGTCATTAGGAACATGCATGCAGGTGCGCGTGCGCGCAATGCTAAGATGACCAATATGCTTGATTTAGCCGGAACTTATATATTTTTTGATGAAATGTTTTGATACTGAGAATATAAAGATGCTTATATAGTATAGACGGGATGACATGGTCATCCTGCACATGCATGCACGTGCGCGCGCGTGAAGTGCAAAAAATGACCAATATACTTTATTGCCTTATTTAATGAAGCTTACAGGAAATAAGACACCAAAAGGGAGTTGGGGAGCGTTTGGGGAACATCTGTAACGGTCCCCGTTACAATTATAACTAGTTGTATTTTACATTTTGTTATTTTCTAAAAATAATTCTATTATCAGAATTGTCTTGAAATTTTATACTGTCTATTATCAATAGTATGATATTAAAACGTATAGCTATAAACCCTTAATTTTTCTTAGCAAATTGAAAATCTTAAGTTTTAATTCCATAAGTCTACATTGTTCAAATTAAATAGTATTGAAATATTATGAATACTTGCAAAAGAGATGCTATTGATCTCTTTTCCAGCAGTTACATGTTCCCACTTAAAACCATGTTTTCCGGGCACCTGCAATAATAATTCTTGTTCATGTATCGAAGGCTTCAGTGGAGACTCATGTCTTCATCGTAAGTGGCAATCACTTTTTGTCCTTCAAATTGTCTCTTTGTAACTGAGGTTTTCTTTGGAATCCTGATAGGGCCACGTAGATTACTATCGCACCATCGAACATTGAATAAAGGGTCGATGGCGCGATGAGGATGATGCAATGGCGCGACAATGCTATGAATATGCTGCGATAGCTCGATGGAGCGATGGTGAACATCTTCATCGTCATAGTACTATCGCGACATCGTCATCGCACCATCGTGTCATCACTATAGCACCATCGCGTCATCGTGCCATCGCACCATCGTCATCGCACTATCGCTTCATTGTCATCGCATTATATCGTCATCGCACTATGGACCCAAACCTCGATGGTGCGATGATGCGATAGTGAACTTCATGACCCTGTCTGAATTTCATAGTTTTCCTTAATCATCCTATTCATGTTTCTTAAATGCGTATTTATCTTACAGTTGATGCTTCCAAATATACAAAATTTACCAGTCTGAACATGAAATTGATGATGGTTAAGAGATCAGATAATCAACTTTTATACGAGTTCAAAGCAGACGGCTTCTCCTCGTTCCAGTCTCTATGGGTGGACCGGGCGCTCTATAACTACTTCGAGATTTACTTTGAAGCTCTTTTTAATCCAGACATACCTTATCCGCCATCTTACATTAGCAATTATGGAATAGGAATTGTATCAGCATCTGTAAATGTTGTACTTAACAAAATAGGCCGAGCTGGTGGTAATTATTCCAATTTAAAGGGATATGCAAATCAATTCAATAACTTTAATAATAACTTTCACAGTTTTTAATACCAATATGTTCATAAAGATTACTACTTATCCTTATGCAATGGTGATTAATGAAGTTGATGAATGGACTAAAACATTTTGGAAAGGTTTGAAAAGGGAAAAATAGTGGAGAGAATAGTGTATCTATCTTGTACGAATTCTTCATCAAAATACATTCAACATGAAAAGAAATTGAATAACAAAATAATCACATTTTACCATTTTAGTTCACCTGAGCTATAAGCTCAGATGAGCTTTTCTGATCAACCGTCTTCCGTTTGTCAGTCCCTCTATCCGTATGTAAACTTTACATATTTTTTAATTCTTCTCAATAACCACTGGGCCAATTTTAATTTAAGTCGGCACAAAGCATCCTTGGACAAAGGGAATTCAACATTATTTTAATGAATAGCAAATCTTTCTTACAAGGGGAAATAATAACGAAAAGACATAAATAGGTTGGGGTTTTTAAATAAACTTCTTAGAAACGACTGAGCCATATTTGAAATATCATATCTATATTGGCTTCCGAAACGTCATAAAAATCCTTACAAACAAAGATACATAGCGGGTTCCAGTAAATGTTCAACCAAGCCTCTTTCTTTACTCCTCACTAAGATATTAACAGTAGTGAAGGAGAAACTTCAAGAGTACTGTGCAACAATATATTCGAGAAGTGCTGTAAATCAGATGTGGATACTTAAAAATTCCAAGGAACTTTTGGAAAATTTGAAATCACAAGATTTTACCAAAATCAACAGCTTAAAAACTTTTCAACTTCATACACAACCATTCCCCACGATAAATTAAAGTCCAGGCTTTTTGATATCATTGACAGCTGCTTTTTCAATAAAAATGGAACTCGTAAATTTACTTACCTTGTCATTGGTCATTTGCAAAATTATTTTGTTAAAATACATTCTGATTGTACACACAAGTACTCTGAAGTTGACATTAAAAAGATGCTTGAGTTTCCGATTGACAATATCTATGTGGTTTTTGGAGACCAGGTCTTCCAACAATCTATTGGAATTCCCATGGGTACCAATTTTTGTGCCCCGTTATTAGCAGACCTTTTTTTGTATTCATATGAAGCAGAATTTGTCCAAAATCTTATACTTGAATAGAAGAAAATTAACAATTAATAATGGTTATTTCCATTCTTATGTCGATACGATATATCCCAGTGAGGTAGAGACAAAAGATACCACAGAGTCTGACACATCTGTTTCATATTTGGATATTTTACTTGAAAAAGACGTTAATGGTAATCTAACAACAAAGTTTTATGATAAACGTGATTACTTTAACTTTTTAATCGTCAATTTCCCTTACTTATGCATCAGTATACCTTCACCACCTGTATACCGGGTTTACATCTCTCAATTGATTCGATACGCAAGAGCATGTCCTATGAACAATTTCTAAAACGAGGTAAATTATTGACAAACAAGTTGATGAAACAAGAATATCAGCAGTCTCGTTTAAAGTCGTCATTTTGTAAGTTCTATGGTTGATACAATGACCTTGTCAAAAGCTGACTGACGTTTTTCATACTAATTGTTAGATCCTTATTTACACACTGAATTGTCGACGTTTTTTTCCGTTATTTCCCGATCATGACAAGGAGCACACGGCGGGTGTGACCGGTCGGCAGGGGGTGCTCACTCCTACACGGCACCTGATCCCACCTCTGATGTTTTGGAGGTCCGTGTTTGCTCTGCTCCTATTTGTATTGTTTAATGGACGTTTGAGCTTGAATACAGTCACCATAAAAGATTAAACTTACGTTAAAGCTTTCTGACATAGTGTAGATCCTTAATTGTTTAAATAATTGCCCCGTAGGTAGTTTGGGCTTCAAAATAAGGGATCAATTTTTACAAGGGCTGGGACGATATATCGAGATATCGATTCTGTTTGAGGACGATATGCATATCGATACGTATGAAGAAATATCGAAATATCGCCAAAAAAAATTTTGATTTAAGTTTACTTTGTTTACTTAACATGTTGGGTTTAATATATAAAATAAAAATGCTAAATATAAATATTAATATGAGATACATAATAATTAACACCACTTGTGTAAAATAATTTAGTTTAACAACAGATAAACAACTTCTTTGAATAAATTATTCTTATTTGTGAAAAAAAAATGTTTTGTTCATTTCAATACAAAATAAAGATTTTAACCAATTCAACATATCGTGATACATATCGTATCGTGACTCAAATATCGAGATACGTATCGATATAGAAAAAGTTGTATCTTCCCAGCCCTAATTTTGACATTGAAATACATGTACATGTATATAGGAAATCACAATAGAATAATTAATTTGCAAACTTCCCTTGGTTATTTGGATTAATTTTGTAAAAGCAATTTTATACCAGGTATTTAAGGTGATAAAAATACAGGTGCTACTTTAAAGAGACGTATGGCTTCATGATGTCTCTTGAAAATTTGGCAAAAGGAACGTATCAATGTAATGCTTGTTTCTGATTGTGAATTCATACATGATTTACTCCCCTCTTCTTTTCTATCGCCTTTTACTTCGTATGTGGTCTTCTGTGTAATTGTATAGGTGGGACAATAGACATAAGTCTGAATACAACATTGCCATGCCCTGGAACCTACAATGATACCTCACCATATAACGAGCTGCTGAAGTGTAATATTTCGTACGGTCAATTCGACAGGATCATCGAAGACGGTGACAAGTAAGCTTAATACAGAGTTATCAATAAGGACATCAGTTTGTCGTAAAACATATCATTTTTATCTACATATGTATTTATACTTTTTTAGGTTAACGATACTGGCAGTTACAGAGATAGGTGGATTTAGAGAATTGTGGAACGGTATAGATGTTGTCAAAAAGGAACTATTTAATCGAAAAATAACAAAAAGATCCCTTGACTTCATGTTCGATTTTACAAAGCCTAGACATTGTTCCCGCCACCTTAATTGTACTGTAAAAAGTATGCTGCCACTGAAAATATCAAATGATGCAAGCAAGGTAGGTCCTCCAGTGTTTGGCATACACTAAAACATTAAAAGTATTTAAGTGAATAAGAATATAGCAGTGTAATGATCACTGTTACTATTATTTAAACCAAAGTTCTACTTTTAACACTGCTTATTATTCTAGGTATTTATTGTCATGCATTTAATAGTTAAACCTTTTTCAAATGCACACTGAGATTTAAAATTATGATGAAAATGCAAACCCGTGTGTTTCGTAGGTTCTTGTTTTGGAACATATAATAAAGTGAAAAGATGACATTTTCTAATTAAGACATACAAACTACGAACAATAAACATAGCATTGAAAATGAAATAGTACATATTATTGATGTAAAGTCAATATTTATTAAATTCTTTAATTTCGCTTTACAGAATCCATTCAAATTTGAAGTCGATGGATGGAATGACATTCCCTCAGGGGTCGAAAAATACTTTTTAGAAATACATAATCTGAAGAAAAAGGCTCATTTTGATACATTATCGGAAGAAAACCCAATGAATCCATTTTATCGTGAAGAAAGAAATGCCTCTTCTCTTCCATTTCCTGAGTTAACCCCACCTGGTCCTGGAATTTACTCATCAATTGTACAAGTAACAGACAAAGCTAATAACTCGGAATTTGCAAGACAAATCGCTATATATGACCCAAATTCTACGATCACAACAACTGCAGAATCTAACTTTTATGTCTCCAGTGCAGAAAAACTCAGCAATCACAGCTGGCAATCAAGATGTTCAACGGTGGAAATCAAGTGGAAAGATTACTTCAAAAACTCATATCATGTTGAAAATCACTTCCTACTTTCCGTTGCGGAGTTTCCAATACAACGAAGAGGCGGTGATATAGAAGAGTTGAAAAATGAAATAGTGAAAAAAGTGAAAGAAGAATATGATGATCATGATGGAAAAAGAAGTGTCTCTGCCGTGAATCACATTAACGGAATAACTGGATTTGAAATATTCTATTCATATATATCATATTCAAACTCTTTGGCAGAGAACAAAACAAGCAATACCACGGCTATTGGTAAAACCACTGAAAACAGTGTCCCTAAATCTGATGAATATGACACAGATAATTCAAACAAAACAGTATCCACTGTCCCCACGACTGTCCCCATGCTCACAAAACCAGCTTGCCTACAGGCACCAAACAATGGCAACATGGAAAACCAGTGGATTGAAATTGAAAATATCACACACAGTTCATATAGTCTTTATCATGAATGGAAGGATGGTGACAGTTTAAATATTTCTGTCAGAGCTCGTGATATAGTAAACAATACAAAGACTGAGTCTAGAATAGTAAGCTTCGATGGCTCGCAACCAATTACAAGTGAAGCCATATTTACAAAAAATGTGGGCAACAGAACATATGGATATTCAAGCAGGTAAAAATGACAAAATAATAAACTTCTGTACAATGTCAATAATTTCAACATGTTTGACCATGCTTTTATTTGTAGCGTCCATATAAGAGCTTTCGATAAGCATAGTGGAGTCCGGCAGATTCAATGGCGACTAAAAGACAAGAATAATCAACAACAAATATACAAAGAAGGATATTTTCAAAGCGATCAAATCAAGGTGTGTGGGATTTTTTGTTTTGTGGGTTTTTTGGGGTCAATAATTATCTAGGATCTTTCAAAGAACGTATTAATTCTGATTAGAAATGGTTAAATGTGATAGAATATCACTTTGTTAAAGTTTACTGACTGTTCCACGACTGATGATTGTTACTGTATTCCCATGGGAGAGTGCTACAAAAAGAACATGGAGTTCGACTTCGACAATTGTTGGATGGCCGTTGACAAACACAAGCTGTTTAATTTCACCTTTATTCTTGAGATTGAAGCCTTCAACCAGGCTATGCTGACATCCAATGTTACGCGTTACGAGGTATCTTATTTCTGTTTTACCGGCAGAATCTTTTGGGATCACATGAGTCATTCAGGTGACCTCTTGCTGATACCTCTTGAACTCTTGTCTGGTGGTCCATCGTGGCCCATTATATTTTAATAATTTTCAACTTCTCCTCTGAAATAACTCTGTCAATTTTATGGTGTGGAGCTTCTATGGGTGAAGGGCAACAAAACTAAGGAATATCATAAACCTTGCCACCTTTCTCCCAGGACCTTCAATTGGACCAATTTGGCAAAACTATGCAATATTTTTAACGATCCTCTTTACTAACAATCATCTAAGTAATATATTGGGAGCTAAGTATAATATGCAAAGGTTGCCTCATTAAAAAGTCCGAAATTCATTATTCACGACCCTCAGCCCAAGGGTTCAGGATCCAGGGAGGATCTATAAGCAGTATATTATGATAATGTATATTTTTTCTCTTTAATATCAATCATCTAGGAAACAAACTGGGTACATAGCAATAGCAAACAAAATGTGAAAAATTTATTACTCCAGCTGTCTGAGGGGTTGAGGGTTTCAGGTCACACTTTGTTACTAAACTTTGTTATATAATGAATGGCTATTCATGTATGAAAATCTTCTCTTGCCATAGTAATGGTTAAGCAAGTAAAAGTAAAAATGTGAAAATTCTTACTTCTATCCATGTATTTCAGGTTTTAGGACAGAGCGATTATTGAACTGAAAATGCATCTCATCTTTAAAAATCGTTATCTAAATTACTAGCAACCATTTAAGATAAACATTTCAACAGTCAAAAAACATATCAACCTACTCAGAGGAACAGACCCAGTTCGGGTCTAAAGGACGTATATCTGTGACAATTGCATTCCAGCTTTCTCTTTACTAAGTAGCATATCGGAGACAAATGAAGTCCCTAGGTTTAAGAAGCAGTTATGATTTGTATAAATACACTGAAGACCTTCGGGTCCTAGCATGGAAAAATTTGTAATATGTATTGTAATAATTGAAAATCATTATGAAAAACATCATTTTTAAAGCTTTCATCTTTTTGGTGGCAACCCTCTAAATTATAAACAAAGAAGTTAGATCCCTTTATTTAAAGGGGGGGGGGCGGTCATGTTCTGTACAGAAGGTACTGTTGCAGTTTCGCAAGTATCCTTTAAGGTTCATTGCCCTCTTGTTTTACTTTGATTGTGTTTTCTGCATTAAATTAGCTATGTAATTGTCGTAGGTACTGTATCAATATCACAAACGAAGCAAATATAACTTAAATGAACATAATTTTGATCCTTCTCGGTGCAAATTATTGCAATTTTGATATCTGTATATTCTAGTTTTCTAATCTGACATCCTTCGATGGAATTGAAGATGGTAAGTACTACTTGTGTAATACCAAATTCGTTTTACATATATGAAATGTGACAATAACAAATAGTAAGCATGCTCAGAAGTCCATTTAAACAATACAAAGCCAACACGGACCTCAGAAAACAGAGGTACACGGGATCAGGTGCTATGGACGAGTTAGCATCCCTTGCGAACCATTCACATCCTCCGTGTGCTCCTTGTCATGATCTGGTAAATTAAAAAATCCGTAGACAATATAGTGGAAATGATGGCCTAACAATTTGTGTGAAAGAGGTCAATCAGCATTCGAGTGATTGATAATATCTATGTGGGTTTTGGAGACTAGGTCTTCCAACAATCTATTAAAATTCCCATGGGTACCAATTGCGCCAAGTTATCATCAGACCTATTTTTGTATTCATATGAAGCAGAACACTTGCTGTAGCTTTCATCGACATTTAGATATATTGCGACGTATTGTCAATTAACAATGGTTATTTCCATTCGTATGTCGATGCGATATATCCCAGTGAGCTTGAAATAAAAGGTACCACACACAGAATCTGACATATCTGTTTCATACATGGATATTTTACTTGAAAAAGACGTTAATGGTAATCTAACAACAAAGTTTTATGATAAACGTGATTACTTTAACTTTTTAATCGTCAACTTCCCTTACTTATGCATCAATATACCTTCACCACCTGTATACGTGGTTTATATTTCTCAATTGATTCGATACGCAAGAGCATGCTCTACGTATGGACAATTTCTAAAACGAGGTAAGTTATTGACAGACAAGTTGATGAAACAAGAATATCAGCAGTCTTGTTTAAAGCCATCATTTCGTAAGTTCTATTATCAATACAATGACCTTGTCAGCAAATACAATTTATCATTAAGTCAAATGCTGACTGACGTTTTTCATACTAATTGTTAGCCCATTATTTACACTGAATTGTCGACGGATTTTTCCGTTATTACCCGATCATGACAAGGTGACTGTCGCCAGGGGGATGCTCACTCCTCCATGGCACCTGATCCCACCTCTGATTTTTTAGAGGTCCGTGTTTGCTCTGCTCCAAAATTTGTAATGTTTAATGGACTTATGAGCTTGAATACTGTTCGTTATCTCCATATATTTCATCTTTGAACTTGAGGGATTCTTCTCATATTTCTTGTATTTAAAAATTACTGAATTTTTCAAAGATTCACTAAGACAATATCATGGTATCAGTAAGATTAAATTTTACCATTTTATTTTGGAAGCAAGGTAGGTTATACAAGGAGAAGGTATGTATAGGCTTTGCCTGTTTCCCGATCCTTATTGATTTATTCAATGAAATATGTTTAAATTAAGGTAGGTTCAAGGTCATTATCTTTTTTGCTTGACGTTCAGTATAAGAATTACTTTTGCTGATCATGTGTTGGCTACTTCTATTTGAAAATATTTAATTTTTTTTTCATTTTGGCAGGGTTGGGGTCAATTACTTTGAAATGTAATCAAATACATCCAAATACATTGAAAATAATGTCAATTACTTGCAACTACAATTACATTGATTTTGACAAATGTAATTATTTACTCGCAATTACTTCGAAGAATGTAATTAAATGCATATCTTTACTTAAGTTTAATTTCCAAAAATTTTGAAGAACAAATACATGAATATTTTGAAGCAGCAATATTATTAAATTTGACCTTTTCTATTACCCTGGGCAGTGTGTTTATGCTGTATAAACATTATAATATAGGCATTTAATTATTGAATAAACACAAACTCATGCCAAACAGTACTGGTATGCATCATGATAAAACATCTTTTTTAATATGTAACATGAAAAATAAAGTATTTGAAATGTCATTGAAAAATACATGACATTATTGGAATGTATTAAAATACATTCAATTACTTGTAATTGAAAGCAAACTCAATTACAAAAACTTTCAATTACTTGGAAAAATGTATTTAAATACAGTAAATTACAATTACTCATTTCAATTACCCCATCCCTGCTTTTTGGATAAAAAAAATGTTACCAGGTAGGGCTTATTAGATGATATTACCAAACTGATAAAAATAATTTAACTTAAATCGATATAGGCTATTCTAATTTTATTCTATTTTTCTTAAATGTTTTGGAAATATTTGTTATTTCTATATGCCTCGTATATTTAAATTTTTCCTAATTTCACATAAGATAAAAAAGTCATATAAAGATACAAAAAGATACAAAATCAAAAAGTTTTGACCGTATACTTTTTTTGGCTCAAATCCGTACTTAGATTAGAAGCTATCAAAAGCTAATAAGAATATTGCTTGTTTCAAAAATCATTTTTATTTGAAATATTTTAAAACTTTAGTTCATTGTTATTAATTCTAGTTACAATAGAAAATTTCTTTAAATCTTTGATTGTTTAAAAATTTGGGTGAATTTATTGTTCTTCAGTAATTTTGAGAATTTGAAAAGGAAATATTTTCATACTTCGCCGTTCCGCCAAAACACCGTCCTTGCTAGATTTCAAACTCAGTTTACCATTTCTATTTAAGTTGTACAGTTATGAGGAGTAAAGGAACGTATGATCTTTTAAATCCTTTACAACTAAATATATAAGACATATACGCAAATATACTTTGAATATTTAGATCAGAAACCTGACAAGAATCCCTCCTTAAAGATCCCCCAGATCCCTGTTCTTTCAATTGGCGATCGAAGTACAGTTCCATTAATATGATTTATGTCGAAGAATTTGCCAAACATCGGGTGAAATATGAAGAGGAAGACCTGAACACTTTGTCAGAATGGATTGTTTTAGAAATATATGAAAGAATCGTGTTAGAAAGTTAGAAAATAGGCAAAATGCGAACCAACTGTCCTGTCGAATTTGCTAAATCGGAGGTGATGAAAGAATTAGAAAGACTACATGAACAATGAACTATTGTTCAAGCAGAAAAGGCGTGTAACAATATCTGCAAGACTAATCATCATATCTGTATTTAAAAGAACTTATTTTAATTCTAGGTCTGGAAATCCAACTTTTACTTAAAGTTCACTTTCTAAGGATGAAATTCTTCAAAATCGCATTTCAGTCTTTTACACTTTTAACATTACAGTCAGCGAAGGTGAGTTCGATCTACCCTACCTATACTGGATTTCTAAACTTCATAAAAATCCCTAGAAACAAAGATTCATTGACTGGTCCAGCAACTGCTCTACCAAGCCCCTGTCTTTACTTCTTAAAAACCGTCACGGTAGCTCAGTCGGTAGAGCGCTCGATCCGTGATCGGAAGGTTGTGTGTTCGAATCACGTACAGTCGCAACTGACCTAAGTCGATAAAAAATAGGTAGCAACTGTTTCTTCGCGCTCGGCACTTTGAAGTGAAAGTTGCGGGTCCTTCGGATGAGACCTTAAAAACCGAGGTCCCGTGTCACGGTAGGCGTTGGCACGATAAAGAACCCTCACTGCTCAATGGCCCTGAGTGCCAAATAAAAGTCTAAATTTGAAACCCTTCACCGGTATATGCTGACGTCTCTCTATATGAGTGAAAAATTCTCGAACTTGACGTAAAACAACATACAATCAATCTATCATACTTCTCAAAAAATATTATGTGTTGTAAAGGAGAAACTTCAGTCGTACTGTGCTTCAGCATATTAGAGAAGTGGTGTAAATCAAATGTGGATTCTCAGAAACTCCAAGAAACTTGTAGAAAATTTAAAATCTCATTTTTTTTTTCAAAAGTCAGCAACATCAAATTTAAACATATGACATTTCTACTCTTTACACAACCATTCTCACGATAAATAAAAACCAGGCTTTTTGATACCACATGCAGACAACTGCTTCTTCATCAATTAATATAGAACTTGGAACTTGAAAGTTTTCATACCGTATGTTTGGACATCAACAAAATTTCTTTGATAAAAATCACTTCGATTCTACACAGAAGTTCTCTGGAGTTGATATTAAGAGGGCGCTTGAGTTCCTCATTGACAACATCTATGTTGTTTTTGGAAACCAGTTCTTGGAATTGCGATGGACATCTATAAGCCGACCTGTTTTTATATCCCTATGAAGCAGAATTTATTAAAAAACTTCTATATTAGAATAAAACATTTGCCGTGGCCTCCAACTCGACATTCAAATATATTGACATTTTATCAATTAACAACATTTACTTCCATTCATGTGTCGACTCGAAATATCACAGTAAACCCAAAATTAAAGACAATTCAGAGTCTGCTACATCTGTTTAGTATGCAGAGACTATAGACGATACGGGCCAACTATACAACTATAAACTGTATGACAAACAAGACGACTTCAGCTGTTCTATCGTCAACTTTCCTCATTAAGTAATATTCCGTCAACATCTGATTATGGTGTTCATGTTTTCCAACGTATACTCAAGAGCATGCTCTTAATACGATAAATTCTTAAACTGAGCAGGCTATTGACAAATAAGTTGATGTTATAGGGATTTGAGTATTTCAATATTTTGTAAATTGTATGGTCGCGATAATGACTTGTTTGCAAATATACCTCTTATTGGGTCGTATTTTGACAGAGATATTTCATACTAGTTGTTAGGCCTTTGTATTTAATTTGACTACGGAATAATCCGTCTACCTGATCAATGCATAAAGCTCTAGGCGGTCAACTAGGCGGGCATAAAGCTCTAGTCGACAGGGGATGCTTACTCCTTCTAAGCAACTGATCCCACCTCTAGAATTTCCGGGGTCCGTGTTTTATGCCCTATTCATAGATTTGTATTGTTTGCAGTTTTCTTTTAAGATCGATCAGTGGTATAGTTATTTTCGTCTTTTTGAATTAAACTCATTGAAACTCATTTTTGACATTTTATTGAGCAATTATATCTCTGAAATTGCATATCAATGATGTTCATTTTGTAATCATGCTCAAAAGTCCAGTTACATGTACATGTAGATAATATAAATTGTTAAGAGCGAACATGGATCTCTTAAAACATCAATGGTGGGATTGATTTACAATTGTAAAAGCTTTAAGTTGTCTTAGTAAAAGCTTTGATATTTTGAATTACTTTAGAAAAAAACGCATATGCATCTTGCATTTTCAGATGGTTAGGTGGTTAAGCGATCAAGTAAATTTTTGAGGTAGTTTTCCTAGTATCTGAAAAATATATCTTTACATGCCCCACATAGAACATGTGTATACCTCTAATGTTTCGGATGCTGCGCTTTAGCTTTATTTTGTGGATGAGTTAAAATAAAGTTTTGGGAACACTTTTATTCTTCAGCACCAACATTGCTGTGTACTTCAAAGCATTATCTTTCGTTTATGACGTTAGATTCTTGTTTAAAGTTACAAGCAACCCTGTATAGTTTACATGACCCTGGGCATCAGCAGGGTGCTTAAGTATTACATAGAAATATATAAACTCCTGCAAAAAACAAATTTATGATTTCTAACCTTAACATCAGACCACAACATACTGTTCATTAGATAAAATTATCTTATCATTAGATTAGATAAAACAATAATCATAGACTCCAAGCTAAAGGCTGCAATAAGTAATTCATTTGTCTGCATGCTATATTCTATAGCTGCAATAGATACCATACATATCTATATTCTATAGCTATAATCATGCTTTAAGTAAACCGATATGAGAATATCATTTATTGAATTGCTCTTTATCTTCCTTGTCAGGTGCTGGAATAAAAAATCTTAAGAGGGAGTCTGAGGGGGACGGGGTCAAGTTCACTTGGGAAAATATCCCCTCCTGTTATAGAGTCTCAGACATCACTATTTTTGTTTATACCGATTGTGACAGATCGAAACCTCCAAAAGAGATTACGCTACCTATAGACAAAACTGAATATACGTTAGGCAGTCTGGAGTCAGGAAAAGACTACTGTATTGAGGTGATTTCTAACAATACCGGAAATCCAGTTTTGGATTCATGGATCATGAAAACATCCGCTTTTATACCCATTGCCATGATTGCCGGAGTCAGTGCAGGTAAAATGTCCAAATATCATAACAAGAGATTGTCACTTACCAGTAGTTTTTATATGGCTAACAGCCTCCAGAAAAAATTGTATATATTTCCTGCAATAAAACTATAACGATAATGAAGCAGGCCTAAATACTAGTACCTTACAGCTTCTTCTACAATTTCATTTTTCCAACACATTTTATTTTGGAATGTTCAGTCCGAAATTATTTTTTTTTCAAGTTGTGGGAGCAAATTATTTGTTCAAAACGACAAACCTTTGTAAATTTCTCTGTACACGCGATATTTAGCAGCATACAAAGGACATTTGCTTTACATCACTATTACATCATTTGCCTGTTAAAAGCCTCACTGAATAGTTTGTAATAAAAACAATTTTATGCCTGTAATCGCCATTCTGCTGGGAATTCTTCTGATTTTTTTCCTTATTTGGAGAAATGAACACATAAAGCCAGAGACCAAACGTAGAGTGAGCGAATTCATCAAGAGACCTGCAACCTGGATAAAGGCAAAACGAAGGGTATGTCAACAGTTTTAATTTATTAAGCTAGCCATCTTCCTTAACATCTGCTACTGCATTTCTTTTAATCTGAGAATTCTCTAATTTTATATTGTGACATGACCCCTGCACATGTTACATTTTAAAGTAGGGGTTAGAGTCGGAAGAATCTCGGATTAAATTTATTTGTTTCCATAATTAACAGTATTTACCATGATAATTTCCTAAATAAAATTGTCTTTTAAAGGAAAAGATCTCCCTCTTATGAAAGAGATTTGTTTTTTTCGTAAAAGTGACTTCCATTTTTAAAAAGAGAAGAATTTAAAAATAAAATCCAGGTCAATTAGTATACCATGGGGCAAAAATTGATATATAAACATTGTTAAAGTCTGTCCCAGGGTACCAATATACTAAAAATATAAAGACTTGGGCTTTCAAACTAGCATCGATAAATAGATCTTTTTTCAATTTAAACTTTATGCTTTTATGGGAACCCTGGAGTTCAACTAGCAGGCAGCAAATTCAAAGTATACGGAGATTTAACATCACGAAAATAGCCGCCAATTTGGAAAGGAATCCAGCAATATTCGTTATTTTGCCGACACTGCGATTCCTTTAGACTTCGAAAAATCGCGTCATGCTTGTTTGTTTCAAGATGTATGCATCTAATCTTGCTAAAACTGGTTTGGAAATGATGCAACCTTGATCTTTAATAGTTTTTTAAAGCCATTTTAAAAGATATTCTAGTAGTTTAAAATGCGGTCGAAGCGCTAATGTGAGACAAACTAAATCTATGATTATTTCACTTCTGTAAAAATGTTTTTATATAAAGTTAAAAAGGTAAAACAACTAATTTTTATAGTCTGAAAATTTTTCACGTATAAGAAAACCGGGTATAGATTGTGCTATACACCCCAAAGAAAATTTTCATTCATCTTTTGACGCCAATTTTGATTTCCTGCAATATGATTGGCTGGCGACCTCTACAAAATCACATTGAAGAGTTCAACAAAGCTATACTCCGGGGTATAAAATGTGCTATACAACCCTCATAAATTATAATACACATCAGTATTATAAACCGCTTATTCACTGGCTGTGAGTGAGATACTCTTGCATCAAACCCTTGACGTGAACTATTCCAAAATTCCCCTTGGGGAATACATGTAGTTCCTGTCGCGGGTTTGATGAAAGAGCTACCCCATTCACAGCCAGTGGATAAGTGTATAATCTTTGACTTTTTTCAGACTGGTTTTTACAGTGGACGTTTTGAAGACGAAGATATTTATGCTTTTGCCAAAATGGTTTTCTCTGCAAACGAAGGCTGGTTATACACATTTGACGATATACAGCTGAAGGGAAAGTTGAAATCCGGAGACTTTGCTGATATCTATCTAGCGCAACTCTGCAAAAAAGACACCGTTGTCGCCAAAATCTTAAAAGGTTGGATGAATTTGATAATTCAGAGCTGTTACATTCGTTATTGCAAACACATAATACAGTATATTTGAAATATGACACAGTGAAATTATTTTTTTTATTACTTAATTGGTGAAATCATTGCTGATACAAATATTTCGTAACTCTGTAAGATAAACAAAGCAATGAATATATTGATCAAAGGTTCATATTACACATACAAGGAAAGTGTCAAGTCAGAATTAAAACTGGTCTGTTTAATGTGTATATTGTCTAATATTTAACTTATTATCATTGCTGTCTTACAGAGGATAAAACGGAGGAAGATTGCCTCGTTCTGAAGGCCAAGATCAGCTTCTTTGCCAGCGAGGTCCCGCCTCACGATAACATTATAACTTTCCTCGGTTCAGTACTCAACCACCCGTTCTGTAAGTTCTGAGATAGTGTTTACCTTCAAAATTGACAAATTTTATTATCATATATCTCCTCTCTCACCAGCCTATGTCCTTCAAAAGTCTAATAATAAAAAGTTACCTAATATTTTCCATTTAAAATTCTAATGTAGCTTTTTCCAAAGACATATTGCTACAATTCTCAGTCCCTGGTATGTTCACATGAAAAATAATTGTGCCTATAAAATTCTTTACCTTTCTCTAGTTGGTCCATACATGCTGTTGGAGTATTGTGAGCTTGGACAAATGAGGGAGTGGTTGATAGATCAGAGAAATAAAGTAAACGATGACCTGATTACAGACTTCTGTAAGATGGTTCAGGGAATCGCAAAAGGGATGGAAGCGTTAGCCATCAAAGGGGTATGCATAGCATACGTCAACTCTTTAATCCGCCTTTGGGTGAATTAAAAAATAATGACCATCAACTTGATCTTTTTTTTTTTTAAATTAAACTACCCGTAAAATATTTTTCTCATATATCATCATATTGTACATGAAATATATGAAGATAACGAACAGTATTCAGGCTCAAATGTCCATCAAACAATACAAAATAGGAGCAGAGCAAACACGGACCTCTAAACATCAGAGGCGGGATCAGGTGCCACGGAGGAGTGAGCATCCCCTGCCGACCGGTCACACCCGCCGTGTGCTCCTTGTCATGATCGGGAAATAACGGAAAAATCCGTCGACAATTCAGTGTGTAAATAATGGCCTAACAATTTGTATGAAAAACGTCAGTCAGCATTTGACTCAATGATAAATTGTATTTGCTGACAAGGTCATTGTATCGACCATAGAACTTACGAAATTATGACTTTAAACGAGACAGCTGATATTCTTGTTTCATCAACTTGTTTGTCAATAATTTACCTCGTTTTAGAAATTGTACATACGTAGAGCATGCTCTTGCGTATCGAATCAACTGAGAGATATATACCCCGTATGCAGGTGATGAAGGTATATTACTGCATAAGTAAGGGAAGTTGACGATTGAAAAGTTAAAGTCATCACGTTTATCATAAAGCTTGGTTGTTAGATTACCATTAACGTCTTTTTCAAGTAAAATATCCAAATATGAAACAGATGTGTCAGACTCTGTGGTATCTTTTATATCAAGCTCACAAGGATATATCGTATCGACATAAGAATGGAAATAGCCATTGTTAATTGACAATACGTCGTCGATATATCTAAATGTCGAGCTGAAGGCCACAGCAAATGTTTTCTTCTTTTCACGTACAAGATTTTGGACAAATTCTGCTTCATATGAATACAAAAAAAAAGGTCTGCTAATAACGGGGCGCAATTGGTACCCATGGGAATTCCAATAGATTGTTGGAAGACCTGGTCTCCAAAAACCACATAGATATTGTCAATCAGAAATCAAGCATCTTTTTAATGTCAACTTCAGATTACTTGTGTGTACAATCAGAATGTTTTTTAACAAAATAATTTTGCAAATGACCAATGACAAGGTAAGTAAATTTACGAGTTCCATTTTTATTGAAAAAGCAGCTGTCAATGATATCAAAAAGCCTGGACTTTAATTTATCGTGGGGAATTGTTGTGTATAAAGTTGAAAAGTCGTAAGTTTTTAAGCTGTTGATTTTGGTAAAATCTTGTGATTCTAGTTAAATTTCCTGAAGTTGCAATAGAAAAGACAATTGCATAAAAAAGTTTCAGGAGTTTTATTAGTAAAACTTTATTTGAAAAAAAGGAAACATCACTACATCCTAAAAGACTTTCTAAAATACATAATCAAAAGAAATTATGTTTTTTTATGCTTGAAAATGGTATCAGGGATAGAAATGATTGGAACTAAACCTTGATTGAGTTTCTTCTCTTGTATATGTTGAAAAAAAATTGTATTTTTGATTGTTATTTTACATTATTTTTTCAATTCTGGTTTGAAAAGTTTTTATATGAAAGAAATGTTAAAATTATAATAAAACAATGAAATTTCCCCAAATCACTTTTTGTCGATTTAAGTCAATTCTTTAAATCTAAACCAAAAAAGAATTCTGATATACAAGTTTTCTTACAAAAAATACTAGGTTTTGAAGTGACCCAATGTTACATTATTGTGTTGCACTCCCGACATCTGATACGTATTTCATTTAACATTGTTTTAAAAAATTATAACACACAATAACCCGTTCTTAGTTTGTAAATCACTTCGTCATTTTGATATTTTTTATCATTTACGGCAAGTTTTTCATATTTCCAAGACTTGAAAACATACTTATTTGCAATGTGTGATATATTTACATTGCATTTAAAAATATGTGTTAAGTGATGAAAACTATTCTCTGAATTGAGTGTAAAATGTCGGTAATGAATTGATAGACATAATGTTTTGAACATCAAATAGTATCAAACATTTTTTCCAATTATTTTTTAGTAAAGATAGCAAAGAACGAGGGCGCTTTTGATTGGCATTCGGCAGGAATCTGAGCGCACTTGAAAAGTGAAGATTTCATTGATCTGTCACATGAAATTTTAGCATTCTTTTGATGTACCGGGTTCCTGTGAAATAGGAAAGGGACATATTTTCCGATATTGTATTTTGATTTGCTAAAAAAGAACTTAAAAATTTGGTACAAAATGTTACATTTTTAAACACGTTTTTCTAAAAATGTGCTATCTCTGGGTCATCTCTCCATGATTTTGAAAAGTTATTTGTGTGTGTTTTAATTCAAAGAAACAAACAAACATTTGTAAAAAATGGAGAGAAGACCCAGAGACTATAAAAAATTAACTTTTTCCAACAAAATTCCAATGTGTAAATGCGATGCTTCATTGTCGCTTTAAAAACCATAAGGTGTATGTAGCGTTGATACCTCAGTAGAATGCGTTACCCGTCCAGTGCAATGAAAAGAAATATTTTTGGTTCGATCCTCGCATGGAGCGTTAATAATTTTTTTAGTGAAAACAATCAATTCTTTTGTCAGTGTAATTTTATGTACTGGTTTATTTTCAAATAGATAAATTCTGATTTTGTTGCACCGAAAGCGAAAGCAATTCTTCCAACCTATTGATACTTTAATATATACATGTACTTGTAATTGAATTAAACTATACCCTATATGTGTTTATTATTTATTTGAAGCGTTACTAAGTTTTACATGTAGTAATTATTAAGATAAGCAGACTGATATATTAAATTTGACAAAGCATTATAAAGTAAATTTAACATTTTCCCATGTGCGTAACTTGTAGAGTATGTCCAGCTGTGGTCAGCCGACCAAATCGCAGACATTTAAACTATAAATGTTTCGTACGCCTAATTCCTGCAGATCACACGCCAAACACGCCCATCTTCTTTAAAAATTAAAACCATAGAACACAAAAATTCATAAAGTTTTGGCAACATCAAGTGGTAACAAAATTTTGCAATATTTATAGTTCAATACTTCATAATTCAAACACATGAAAGTATTTAAACTTGGCTTTACATCTTGAATTTTTTCTCATTTATGTCAAAAAATTAGCTACAATATATATTTAGAAGACAAAATATATTTTATAGTATATTTTCCTTCACATGACAAATACTGTAAGCAACTGAGGTCAACCAGAAACATTCTACTCATCAATTTTTTCTTTACATTTATTCATATTTGATCAGCAATAATTCTAACATACTTGTTGCACTCCTGACCAAGAGCATGGGAGTCTTTAAAGTAGAATTATAAAGCGAAAACTATATCAGAATTCGTTCTGTTGTTGCAGTGAAGTTGAGGTTGAATTACTTGAATTTCATAACAATTTTTCAGTGTGTTTATTTTTTAAATTCATAAAAAAATCAAAGAAAAGATAAAAACACACCTGATTTGATGACACTGAAATAGAGAAGGATTTTAATGACAAAAACTTCAATAATTTAGTACCAATTATTCAAATAGATCATTATTAATTAAAGAATATATCTTAGCATGAATCGAAGTCTTTTAATCATATAACTTGAATTTTTTAAAAAAAAAAAAATGTGTTGCACTCCTGACCATAGAAATATAGATCTGAAACACAGACAGACCCTTTAATTGATAAATATTTTTGGTAAAAATGTTCTTTGTGTCGTTATTTTCCAAAATAAAAATCAGAGAATCATATACTGATAAAAGTTTTTCCATGCTGGGGAACAAAACATTAAATGTTGCACTCGTGACATTATTGGGTATGCACAGATACTTAACTCTCATTAATGCTGCTTGTGATTTATATAACATTTTTAAGTTTTAAATTGTAAATCTGTTATTGTTTTTACACTTTGAAAATTCTTTTTTGACTCATCTGTCTTTCAGATTTTTAAAATCGCTGATTTTTGGCAACACTACATTTTTTTCTGTTGCAGTCCTGACATGGTATAACATTTTTTTCAACATCAGCCCTGACCACAATTTGGTCAAACAAAAGTTCCTGTAGTCTACATTTTAAGCCCAATACTGTGAATATTATCAGAAAAGTCTTTATTTCCAACATAAACCATTATTATTTATTTCACAGATCTTCAAAAAATATTGAATTTTCAAAATGTGACAAAAAGGTGTTGCACTCCTGACATTTTTAGCATCATTTTTGGGTATAACTTTTTTGTGAATTGAGATACCAATGAGATATTTGGCAGGTGTTTAGACACTATCTAAAGACATATGCTGGTACCTAGAAATTTATTCCCATTGCCTGCATTTTTAGTGCAGGTTGATGAATATGAATTTGGTCGTTTTTTAAATTCACCCCTATTGTTTGGGGAAAAAAGAATAAGAAACAGTTCAATGATATTATTATAAAGGTATACATGGGTAAAACGAATCGTAATAGGAATTTAATCCCCACCCCACCCCGCTTTTGCGACAGCGTAAGGACATTAAGTCCCAATGGTGCTTGTCAAAGAACCATAAACCTTGGTAATTACTTTTATAGGAAAAAAGATTGGGGCTTTCATTTTTCACTTGTTTACCTGTGAAACGACCTTTCCAAATGAGTAAGATTTTTACCTCGTGACCTTGACCTTGAAGTTTGACTACTTTTGAAATAGAACTGCGAACAATAGTATTGTTCTGCTGCCTATCTCCAAGTCAATTTTCAAAAGGGAACATATTTGAATGATTTTTCATATTTTATAGATATTTACGTGAATTTTCATAAAACATAATTTATTTAGGAAAACAAAGAGATATAACTACAATTTTGGTAAAACTTGTGTTTTTTCACTATGGAAATTAACGGAAAACGGAAAATATGTTTAAAACATCGACCCCGTGTAACGAAATTTCCCTTTTAATTATAAATTATTTCACAAATTTATACCAAAGCTTTTGTTGTTTCAAGGGGGGGGGGGCATATGTTTATAGACAAATCAGTAAAAATGGTCATGTTATTACCAATTTCAAATGAGATTACAAGTTTTAAAAATGTACTTTATCAATCTTATATGTTGAATTTTACATAAGTTAAACACAAAAAAGATTTAAGGGTCATTTATCTATTTCCATGAGTATTTGAAATACTGATAATGTTTTAAGGCTAATTTCAATGAATAAAATTTTCTAACCCCCCCCCCCCATTTCCCCCTTTATGAAAAAAGTTGACAATAAGAGCAATTAACTTTTGGCACTGGTTTTATAATTATAAATTACTTACTAATAAACTCTTCTTTGCATTCAAACAAGTTTTAATGGCAAAATTATTATTTATGATGAAAAAGAGTTAGATAGATTACACGATCAGTGTGTACTGGTCCCAGCTGACAAAGCAGCTAACAACATTGTCTTTGTTTGTAAGGCTCATTATTTTAATTGTTTTAGAGAAACTGGAATTTAATTCTGCAAGCGGTAATCCAACGTATACCCATAGCTCCCTTTCGCCGAAGTATGGCTGAAAGATTGCCGACTAGGCGTACGTTAAACAATACTCAATCAATCAATCTAAGGAGGAAATTCTTAAAATCATATGTCAGTTTTAAATATTTTTGATATTCCCAACAATCAAAATGAATCGAATTACCATACCTATACTGAATTCTTAAACTTCATAAAAATCATTACAAACAAAGATGCATAGCGGGTTCCAGTAAATGTTCTACCAAGCCTCTTTCTTTACTCCTTTTTTGATATATAAACAGCAGTGAAGAAGAAACTTCAGGAGTACTGTACAAATAACATATTCGAAAAGTGGTGTGAATCAGATGTGGATACTTAAAAATTCCAAGGAACTTTTAGAAAATTTGAAATCAAAATTTTTTTTAACAAAATCAATAAAATCAAAATGTACGGCTTTTAAACATTTCATGCAGTCGCCCATGTGGGGGTGGTTAGAGCGTCTGCTCTAGAGTCGCGGAGTAAGGAGTTGATAAAATAATTCTTAAACTTAAACTAAATACAATCTATCATTAAGTCAAATGCTTACTGACGTTTTTATACGAATTGTTATGCCATTATTTACACAATAAATTGTCTACGGATTTTTTCCGTTTGCCCAATCATGACAAGGAGCATACGGTGGGTGTGACCGGTCGGCAGGGGATGCTCACTCCCCCATGGCACCTGATCCCACCTTTGATGTTTTAGAGGTCCGTGTTTGCTCCTGATTTGTATTGTTTGAATGGACTTTTGAGCTTGAATACTGTTCTTTATCTCCATATTTCATTATATTGAATTAAATGGGTGTAAAATATATGCGGGAATCGAGAGTTAGAGTGCGTTGTTCTTTTCTGATTTGACCTAGCTGTTGCTTCTAAAGAGACAGAATGCTCACATTATTACATGTGCATTACCTAAGACATGGCCTTTTCCAATACTATGAATTTTGATCTCATGACCTTTAATTTTGACCTTTTCTTAAAGTTTAGCCATGGTTGTAACTTTTGCACCAGAAGAGACGGGGCTTTCTTATTTTTATATGTGCATTACCTGTGACAAGACCTTTCCAATTATACTATGATTTTTGACCTTGTGACCTAAACCTCGATGTTTGACTTTCAAAAACTATAATCCTGACGTAGGTTTTGCACTAGAACATATTACTTTAAAAAACATACAACGTTTTCTAGTCTAATAGACAGACAAAGAAGGACAAACACGATAGTTATTACAATATGCCATAGATCACTGCATCCCAGACTTTGAAAGTGAAGGATCACAATTCTCTGGATTTATTTCTTCCTTTTAAATATCTGTAGATTGTACATAAGAGATTGGCGACAAGGAATATCCTTCTGACTTCTCGTCTGGTTCCTAAAGTTTCAGGATTTGGACCTACGCCTGAGGAGGGCGAGAACGAAGTAAACAAGAAAGAAGCCAGGGTATGTGTGTCTGTATAAACTAGCATTCATTGTTATAACACCCCAAGTTATATCAAATATCGCAAGATATATGTATGAATTTTTGTTGTTTATGAGGCGATAACCAATCTCGGAGCAGATGATAATTCTTACATAAGAAATGAACAAGTTAGTAATCATTCAGACCTTAAAACCCCCAAAACCCACATTCCTTATACATGTATTAATATAAATAAGAAACCCAATTGTTCCCACTCCATTATGGTTTTTTTTTTCATAATCAAGAGATTGAATTTGAATATTTGTCTTTTCAATAAAGAATTGAAATCTCGCCCTTTTACATGATACAATCTCATTATGGATATATGAGTTCCGGTTTTTATCGGTATATGATGCGAATTAGATACCAGTTAAGAGAGATAATTTATCATTTAAATAATTCAAACCGATAAATATTCAAAATAAAATTCAAAATAACTACATATATTAAAGAATTTTTAGTTTATGAAAATAAGAAATAAGATAATTTGGCACTAGTATATAAAGAGATCTAGTCCATTTTCCTTGATCACTGGGCTTGGTACCTTTTAAATCTTAGGAATCATTGAAAAGTATTTTACAAGTGACCTTGGTACTACAGTGCCTGAATAATTTTAGAAACGTTAATTTGTGATGAAAAATTTTACCTTTAGGGCAGGAAACCGATAAAATGGCTTGCTCCAGAGTGCTACGAGTCTATGAAAAACTGCACTTCAATGAGTGACGTGTGGGCATTTGGAGTTGTGATATGGGAAATATTCAGTACTGGTTAGTATTTCTCTTTTTATTTATTAAGAAATATTTCTGTAGACATTGAAATATTTCTTAATTACTTAACCAATTAATGTTAATTTATTAATTTACAGGACAAAATCCCTACCCTGGAATGGACGTAAAAGTTGTCCCTATGAAAGTGAAGAGCAGTTACAGAATGGGTGTTCCTGAATTCTGTCCTGAAACGTAAGTACAAGGAACAGAGTCATCTGTTTTATCTAATGTTGTCTGTCGATAAAACACTACAATAGTTCATAATGGGGTTATTTACTTCTTTACTTATCTTACAGTCATGGACTGCTAATGGAAAGTTGTTGGTCAGCTAAACCCGAGGACAGAGCAAGTTTCACTAGCATTGTGAATACACTGGACAGTTACTATGACGCACGATTTCCATGTGATTTTGCGGCTACAGACGCGGTGTAACGCATGCGTAAAATGGAGAATCTACCAATATTCACATTAAACGTCGCTATGGAGTTAAAACTTTTTGTCATCTTATTGTTTGCAAACACGATTGGACTTTCTATTGCTCTAAAATATTACATTTTTCATTTGGAACATGTTAGTCAGAAGCATATAAAAGTACAAGCTATAGAGATGTTGTTTTTTTTAAATTTGAAAATCATTCTCTTGAAATTATATGTACCTGTTTGGAATACTAGTAACTCACCAAAGGTTCAATGAACTTTGGTGATCTAAGATTGTCTATTGTTTGTCTACTATTTATCTATTGGTGATCTAAGATTGTCTATTATTTGTCTACTATTTATCTATTGGTGATCTAAGATTGTCTATTGTTTGTCCACTATTTATCTATTGGTGATCTAAAATTGTCTATTGTTTGTCCACTATTTATCTATTGGTGATCTAAGATTGCCTATTGTTTGTCTACTATTTATCTATTGGTATTCTAAGATTGTCTATTGTTTGTCCACTATTTATCTATTGGTGATCTAAGATTGTCTATTGTTTGTCTACTATTTATCTATTGGTGATCTAAGATTGTCTATTGTTTGTCTACTATTTATCTATTGGTGATCTAAGATTGTCTATTGTTTGTCTACCATTTATCTATTGCTATAATTTTACAACGTGGGATACATTTGATGTTATCGTCTCTGTTTGGGTCATGGTTTAAAGTTTTATCATACCCGGTATTATATCTTCGGGTGAACTTTGTGTATTGCATATACCGTTAATCAATGTTAATTAAAACAGTAGTTTTTATCATTAATTACTGAAACATTTAACACGTATAGTTGAGTTTGTTAAAATGTTTGTGATTTCCTATTTTTCATCATCTCATATAATCGGTTATTTGCAAATCCTGTCATGCTTTTATTTAAATCATTTATAACCTCGGTTATATCACTATTCTTTCAGTTGTTGTGTATTCAATAAACCTTTATTTACATTTTACAGAAACAAAATATTAACTGAACTGCTTGTCATACCTTAATAAGATTTCAAATAACATATACATTGTAAATCTCTCCTCTAAGGATGCTTCTAGCTATATAGCAATGGAAACGACTAAAAATCAAATATTTATTATCATTTTGTTCTGAACAATGTATGTAAGAGAAAAAGATACTGTATTTTACATTGAGAACTCTTATAAACTCTTCAAGATATTGATCAAGGTGTTGATCTTTCTCATGCTATAGATCTGAACGCACTATTTTCTTGAAGAGAAACCTGTTCCTGTTGTAAACATTATGTATAAACAATGTATAATAAAATACGTAAGTTCTTAGTATACCCTAATTATGTACAAGAAAGAGAATAATTTACTGTCTAATTAACTTCACTGAATTTAGGTTAAATGTTTATTTCATTCAGTTAGTACAAGAAATCATAACTACATGTATAATATAACATTCAAAGTGAAACTATAAAAAGTAAAATTACCAATTTCATGAAGAAAGATTTTAATAATGTTAATAATATGGTTGATGAAATTAACTCAATTTTAATTGAAACAGCCCACATGTCAGCCAAATTTGTCAAAAGGAGTAATAAACAAATACATTGTAGAAAATTTAAAAAGAAACATAACAAAAAACCATGGTTTTCAGACTCATGTGAAGAACTAAGAACTTCAGTTAAAAACTATGAAAAATTAGTTAACGAATTCCCTTTTAATGCTGAATACAGAAAAGCATTTTATTCATTTCGTTCTCGTTTCAGACGTCGATGTAAATACGAGCAGAAACAATGCAAAAAAAAGATTTGTAATGAACTAGAAAACTCCCTTGATTCCAATCCTAAATCATTTTGGAAATTAATTAACAAACTTGATCGTTCATCAAAGTGCCCAATTGATGATGTATTACCCCATGATAAGTTTAAGGATCATTTTAAAAAAATTATCTTTAGATAATTCAAATTTTAATTCATTTCAAAGGGAAATTATTGACAAATTTGAAGAGCTAAAGAAAAAAACAAGAGTCATTTTTTGACACAAATGTACTGAATAGTGCAATCACATCTAGCGAAATACAAAAAGCCATTAAATCCCTGAAGAATGGTAAATCCCCAGCTATTGATTTAATTTCAAATGAAATGATAAAAAATAGTACACATACTTTGCTTGAGTCACTTACTAAACTTTTTAACTTTGTATTTGAAAAGGGGGAGTTCCCTAAAATATGGAATGAAACATTTATCGTCCCACTGCATAAGACAGGTAGTAAATCTGATCCAAACAACTATAGAGGATTATCAATAAGCTCAAACTTGGGGAAAGTATTCAATAAGATCATACATTTGAGATTAACCAAATTTACTCTAGATAATAATCAGATTAGCAAAATTCAAATTGGCTTTATGGAACACAGCAGAACAGCTGACCATATATTTTCTATAAAATCAATAATTGACCACTACAAACTCAAAAAGAAAAAAGTTTATGCAGCATTCATTGATCTGAAAAAAGCATTTGATACGATTTGGAGAATAGGATTATTTTACATACTTCTAACAAATGGTGTTCCAAAGAAAATTTTCAATGTGATCTATTCTATGTATGCGAACACCATGAACAAAATAAAGTTTAATGAGGGGTTAAGTGAACTATTTATATCTGAAAGAGGTGTCAAACAAGGTGATGTACTAAGTCCCTTGCTTTTTAACATTTTCATAAACAAAATTGTTGATGAATTGAACAGTATTAACTCTGATCCAATACTAGTAAAAGATACAAAAATACACTGCTTATTATATGCAGATGACTTAGTTTTGTTGTCAAGTAGTCCTGATGGTCTACAATGTAGCCTGAATATTCTTGAAAATTATTGTGTTAATTGGAAGCTACAGATTAACACGTCCAAATCAAAAATTATAGTATTTAATTCTAATGGTAAAACTTATTTAAACCATTTTACTATAAATGGTATCTGTATTGAAACTGTTGACAAATATTGCTATCTTGGTATAAATCTTAAATGTAATGGCAAATTTAACCTTGCTGCAGCTCAGTTGGTAGATAAAGCCAGAAAAGCTTTATTCAAGATAAAGAAAACCCTTGGAATACATAATTCCTGTCGATTACTTGAAAAATTGTTTGATACCATGGTAATTCCCATTTTGCTATACGGAAGCGAAGTTTGGGGTATTGAGTCGGTCATAAAAAATTCAGGCTCGGCATCTTATGAAAAGTTTCATATTAAATTTTTGAAAGAAATTTTAGGAGTTCATTGCAAAACTTCAAATAATGTTTGCTATTCTGAACTCGGAAGACTCCCAGTCAGATCAAAAATTATTATGTTTGCTATCAAATACCTTGATCATTTAATTTCATTTGAACATACATTGGCACATGATATTTTTATCAAAACTAAAGAAAACTAGTATTAATTGTAACGGGGACCGTTACAGATGTTCCCCAAACGCTCCCCAACTTCCTTTTGGTGTTTTATTCCCTGTTAGCTTCATTAAATAAGGCAATCAAGTATATTGGATTTTTACGCATTACACGCGCGCGCACGGGCATGCATGTACAAAATGACCATGTCAACTTGTCTACACTTTTAATACATCTTTATATTCAAATTTCATCAAAAGATAAAAAAATTCGGCTATATTAAGTATATCTGTCATTTTACGCATTGCAAGCGCGCGCACGTGCATGCATGTCCATGATGACCGTGTCGTCTTGTCAACACTATTAATATATCTACATATTTTGAGTATCAAGGCATTTCAACAAAAAGTATAAAAGTTACAGCTATATCAAGTATATTGGTCATTTTAGCATTGCATGCGCACGCAAGTGCATGCCTGTGCATGTTGACAATGTCGTCTTGTCTACATTTATAATATGTCTATATATTCTGAGTATCAAAGCATTACATCAAAAAATGTAAAAGTTATGGTTATATCAAGTATATTGGTAATTTTACTCATTGCATGCGTACGCACGTGCATGCATGCGCTGACCATGTCATCTTGTCTACACTATTAATATATCCTTATATTCTGAGTTTTAAAGTATTTCATCAAAAGATATGAAAGTTTTGGCTATATCAAGTATATTGGTCATTCTACTCATTGCACGCGCACGCACGTGCTTGCAAGTGCATGCATGTGTGCGCTGATCATGTCATCTTGTGTACACTTCTAATATATATTTATATTCTGAGTTTCAAAGCAATTCATCAAAAAATATACAAGTTAAGTCTATATAATTTGTATTGGTTATTTCAATCATTGCGCATGCGCACACGTGCATGTATGTGCATTCTGACCATGTCATCTTGTCTACACTTTTAATATATCCTGATATCCTGAGTATCAAAGCATTTCATCAAAAGATATGAAAGTTATAGCTATATCAAGTATATCTGTCATTTTACTCATTGCACGCGCGCGCACGTACACGCACGTGCATGCATGTGTGCGCTGATCAAGTCTTCTTGTGTACACCTCTAATATATATTTATATTCTGAGTTTCAATGCAATTCATCAAAAAATGTACAAGTTAAGTCTATATCAATTGTATTGGTTATTTCAATCAATGCGCATGCGCGCACGTGCATGTATGCGCATTCTGACCATGTCATCTTGTCTACACTATTAATATATCCTTATATTCTGAGTATCAAAGCATTTCATCAAAAAATATAAAAGTTACAGCTATAGCAAGTATATTGGTCATTTTACGCTTTGCACGCGCACGCACGTGCATGCGCGTGCGCGCAAAATGACCTTCGTTCCGCAAATCTACATAACATTCCTATTAACCCTAAAAAGGTTTCACCTCAATCGGATGTGTAGTTTCGGAGATCACTCACGGACAAAAAAGTACCCAGGAAGAAAAATAATAATAACTAGACTCTTGTTGCCATGGCAACAAAAAGGTCTTCCGTTTTTCTATATAATCTGTAAGAATTCGCTTTTTTCTATGTAGAAAAGAAAACAACACATACAATATTTAACTGGAAAAATACCCTTTCAGTACTTAAGGTACTTTGATTTTGATGACCAATTAGCACCTATGGATAGAATTGGAGGGCTCGGTTGTAACACGTGGCAACATTTCGTATGTATCGAAAGTTGGTCACAT